TGCTAAAATGTAGTGGTTATATTTATTGAATTAATGTTACTACGTTAGTGATTGTTAATTTTGATTTAGGATGAATGTAATATGAATCTACATGACACATAAAAATATATAAAAATAAATAAAATAAAATTCATTGTGTCCCCTGCTGTGGCCGTGGCCGTGTCCGTGTCCGTGTCCGTATCCGTATCCGTATCTGTGCTTCATAGGACTTGAATCATTTGAATATTCGTTCTTCTTTTGTAAGATTTTTTCTTTTTTTTTTGGAAAAGAAACTATTCAGAATATTGTAACGGTGTGCAACAAGCCATTACAGTACCACCCGTTACGTAACACCGAAACAACAGTTACAGACATGGTTTTAAAAGGCGGCCGCAACCGTTACGTAACGGTTGTGGTGGTTACCGTCACCCATTACGGCCGCTTTTGTAGTGTGATTGAGATTCACAGGTGTGTCGGCTGTAGCGGCTGCCGTGGCAGTCGTAACGGTATCATAACAACCGTAACGGCCTGTTACGCACCGTTACGTAACGGTTCCAAACTGCATCTTTCGAAAAAAACACAAAAAAAGAGCTAAAAATGAGGGAAGAGGGATAGAGAGAAGAGGGAAGATAAAGAGAGAAGATGGAGGAGCAAGAGACAGAGAGAGAAGAGGAAAGATGAAGAACATGTTATTGATTTGTTGAGACTGTAAGACCTATACTATTCTATTCAGCTGCTATCACTCAACCATTTTGTTTGTATGTGTCTATCTATATATTATTTGAAAATAATAATAATAATAATAATAATAATAATAATAATAATAATAAGTGTGGTCATTATCTATTTGACTTGGTTAAAATATATATATATATATATATATATTTAGGCTCTTATTTATTCTCTTACTTTTGTCATTATTTATCTTATATATAATAGTTAGTGATTGATTTTTTGTATAATATAAAATCATTAATTATTAAAATAAAATGTAAAAAACTCAGTTTATAGTGATTTAAAAATATGAAATATATTGGATCATACTTAAAAATTTACAAAATTGATCAATATTTATTTTAAACCCAATAAATATGATCATGGAAAAAAATGTGTAGCGGTAAGTTTTTTTCAAATTGTGTAAAAAAATTAAAAAATTCACGATTCAGGTTATTGCAACCGTTATGCTACGGCCTTTACACCCCGCAGCCGCAACTGCGCCACTGCCACCGTTACAGCGACCGCAATCGCTTTTCAAAACCTTGGTTACACGTGAATTTCCGTCACACCGCAAAAGCGGGTGTAACAGGTAGCGCTTACCACCACAACCATTACATAACGACTGCAACCGTTACGTAACACCGCTTTTTGAAAACATGAGCTAATTAATGAGATTATTGCAATTAAGAGTTAATTGTGATAAAAACTTGTTCATTGTAACGTACTTATCAAAAAACAAAAAAAAAAACATCTTTGTTATAAGATCAGGAATATCATCAATCCTTGTGGGACAAGATAGACTTGGTCCTCAAATATGAGAGCTATTATAAGAGCTAGCACTCCAGAGATTGACATCTGCCTCTCATTGTCTCTCTAGAATACTTGTGAGCTTGACAATGCCTTTGTTATAAGACTTTTAGAGGTCGGATGCTTGAACTACTTTTGAATTGGAGTGAACTCAAAAATCAAGCAAGGAATAGAATTTTGTGCTCGAGGTATTGTTCAAACTATTTCTATGGATGTTTGTATCTATGTTTCATATATATCAGAAATATAATCATGGGGATTGAGAATCAAAATAAATTTTAAATTCCTTTACGCCTAGCCTAGGTACGAAATTTCCAACAGCTCCTCCATGCTTGTATTTGGATGGAGTAACATAGGCAATCTTTTGAAGGACTGGAATTACCTGATCTGGCATTAAAACATGCTGATGTGAGATCCCCATATTTGGTTAGCAGGGATTAGGGAAAATCCTCCTTCCATATTGATTTTTTTGTATAGAATTTGGGTGGAATGAGTCTACAGCCTACAGGCTTGTTTTGCTTGCTAATATACATCTACATCCTATCCTATGTACATGGTTGCACCCATTTGATGCATTTTCCTGACAGAACATTACTTATTAAAGAAGTCAAGAAAAAAAAATAGTAGCTACCTTGAGTGAGAACAGCCACTCTAACCGTCAGTCCAGTTCCCTTGGGTAAATTCACCTATCATGAAAGAATTAGAACAACAGCAGAAACTAATTGTAGTCCATGAGATTGCTACCATATTTCTCATTACAATTAATCAAATGCAGGGAAAACTCACTGTTGCCCTCAGCTGTTGATCATTGTATTTTGGGTCAATGTTGAGACGGAAATGAGCTTCAGCTGTTTCGACAAACTTTGTGCTTGCCATTTGCTTGAGCAATGATATTGCTGTTTTTAAGTCATACTCTTTCTTGTTTTCCCTCAATTTTTGAATTTCCAAGAATCTCTTAGACCTTCTCTAATAATCCCAGCAAAAGGAGGATAAGGAGTAAGTTAAAAATGCAGTAACAACATGAATGTGAAACTAGTTGACAGGAATGTGAAAGTATGGGGGTAGACAACTTAAACAAACCAAAGAGGAGACAAGACCAGCAACAACAGTGATAAATATCACGTTCGGGATTCATGCAAAGCAAATTTCTGATTTAAAAAGGCAATACATGTCAAGAATTTTTTAAACGTGAGGTCTTCTAACTCTTGTTCTCTAACAATTTACAATTTATAATAATTTAAAACACAAGGGCTTTTAATCATGTTGAATAATTTGAGAATTCAGAGAAAATTGTGGAGTTATTGTTAATATTCGAGGCCAGATTATATAAAAGGCATTCTACTCAAATAAGCATGAACTAAACAAAAAAAGGTGTTCTCAAAACTGAGAATGAACTAATACTCTACTGCAACCACAACCTGTAGAGCCAACTTAAATTAAATAAATAAAGGGCAAAACCACTAGATATAGCCAGAGTTTGTAGATAATCAAAAGATGAAGAAATGAAAAAACAAAAATATGACATAGTCTTTTTCAGACGCTACCATGGAGGATTCTAAGGGATTGAAGTGCTTAAGTCATCATTAAGATAAACTCAAGCAAAAACAAGTAAATAAATTACTATAATACACCCACAATACATGGTTTCAATCTCTCATGTTGGTTTCCTATAACTAAAACTGCAAAATAAACAGAAATCAGACAAAATTATAATGTAATTCACTACACACATCCACAATCCAAGAAAAACAAAATAAATACCAATTAAAGTAGATCTTAACTAGCACAATCTATTCCCAACTCAAGTATAAGATCTTGAAACTAAAAATTTTACAATCACAGTTAAATTAAATGTGAAAATCAAAAGAAACCCAATAAATTAAATCACTAATGTGTCCACATTCAAGAGAGGAGGAAATAAGGAATGAGATTACACATACTCTGTCACTCTTGAGAGGCAATGCAGCTTTGCCTTTCTTGGGCTTAGTTTGGGGTAACAACGACACACTTTCCACAACACCCTCTTGGAGTTGTTCATTTCTTCTGCTACCTCTGCTTCAGCAGCCAAAGTGGCCACAGCAACCGGGGAATTGGGTGAATAAAATGAATTTTACCCTTAGAATAATTGTGTAATGAAAATAAAATGTTATGCAACTTAGAATTACCCTTCTAATAACTTGCTAAATGATTTTTCTCATCTATCAAACTGTCACTAACAGTGTTCTCATTTATCAAAACACTCATTTTCATCAAATCATCCGCAAATTTAAATATAAAATTACAAATGGCATCACATTTGTACCTAACACTACATGTAAACACACATGTAAAAATTAAAATAACTATGACAATTATCTAAAGCAATTTACATTCTGAGAAAATTGAAGCAGTCTAGATCTCATGGAAGTCATCATGTTGTGGGATATTTTGAAAAACATCATAAAACGTGACAAAACTACACCAACTCAAGTGTATGCATTATACAATACTATAGATAATATAGCTACATAGTTTTAAAACATGTTTTCCTGTTTGTAATTTTTTAAGGCAGCTTAAACTAGAGGTGAAAATTTCAATGATTGGGTTGCCAAAATCTACTAAAATTGATCATGATACCAACATGAATAAGACAGTTTGCTCAGTAGTCCATGTAACTGTCCTTTGGGATAGTGAGAAGGTTAGAGTTTGAAGGTCCGAGTTGATAGAGCGACCATAGCTCTTTTGTTGTAATCTAACTTATTACTAACCTACTAACATCCTATTGTGTGCACAAAAAAAAATCATGATACCAATACAAGATTTTATACAACTGGCATAAAGAAGCCAATGCAATGCTCTTTGTAAATGCAAACATGAATCTGAATACCTCCCTATCATATTCAACTCAGCCTGTGTCCTACCCCTTTCAAACATTCACAAGTCACTGTGGAGGAAACCAAGAAGCTACCCGAATAGTTTAGAAGATATAATTTGCATGTGTATTTAGATTTCCTTAAACATTCGAAGTCGCAGGCTTGAAATCAAGCATTTCCCTTATATTTAACCGAATGGAAGGCCCCATTGATGAGCATATATGTGCACTTTTCCAGTATACTCCTTCTGCACCAGATGGCTTGTTTGTTTCTACTGATTTCTGTCATGTTAATTAAAGAAATAAAAAGGAAATACAGTTCAGAAATTGAGTACATATAATTCAGACAGCGCAAAACATGAGAGAGAGAAAGAGAGAGAGCATACTGCTGCAGCAAGCAAGTTCACAGGAAGATCTTCCTCAGAAAAATCTGACTTTCCAAAGGGTAAGTGAACGATCCCAGCTTTATCTGCTCTGTATTCAACTTTGCCCTTCTTGAATTCCTCTATGGCCTGAGACAAATGCAACCTGAATTCATTTCATTTCAGCAAATTTTAAGGGTGTAGGCCATCAGAGAACTCATATATTGTTGATAGCGCAGCGTGATGATGACCATTATTTATTTATTTTTTATAATGATAAGTAAATCGTATTAGTTGGCCTCTAAGGGACATAAATCTTGCATTCACTGTGTAAAATATGTGTACAATCATTTACACGAAGGCAAAGTGTCTCCAGTATCAACAACAACAAGAAAACACACAGACCAGAACAAAAAATAAAACTGATAAAGTGTTAAAGGGTTCTCCCTTTTACTCACCCAACCAAACAAGACCTCCAAACTAGGTATAGCAAGAACTGAGAGTCTTCTCTTGTCTTCTAGAAGGAATGCCCTTCCTTTGAATTACACACCTATGCCATGCCGAGTAATGCCAATAGCAACGACTGAACTTCCATTGCAGCCCTAAAAAAGGGCAAGGTGGTCCACTGACAAGTCCAATTTGGAGTCATGTTTGCTCTCCTAAGGCTGTCAACTACGAAAACTTCAATGGGTAACTAACCACACAAAAAAACCCACCTTTGCAGAGCAGCTTGGCAGTGGCTAAAATAATTTCAATGCTTCTAATTATAAGTTACAAAAAAAAAAAAAAAAAAAAAGCCAAAGGAGCATTTGAATGTCCCAAGTAAATCAAATCATCACTGCATTTTGCTCATCACCTGTTTGTTTCATATGTGCATTTTTTCTTCTCTCACAAATCGCTTTTCCTCAGTCTCATTTGTAATTGTAGGTGAAACACAACTTACAGAAGCTATACCATTAATGAATGAAAATTTAACATAAAATATCTCACCTCAGAAGTCTGGCATCAGGAAACATATCCACTAGAACGTAAATGTAGACATACATGCATACATACCAAATTTGTATATATGAAACAAAAAGATCGTACCTGAGGTAAATTAGTTGTAATAGTACCAGCTTTTGGATTTGGCATGAGTCCACGAGGACCCAAAATCTTTCCTAGTTGGGCAAACTGATGGGACAAGAAAATGTAAATAAAGTCAGGCATATGAAATATGATCTCCAGACAATACAAACACATTAATTTATGCATATGTATTTTTACCTAGAGGAAAGAACCAAATTAATTAAGAATAAATCCTACTATTCTAAGTTAAGCCAAATCCAATATTCCTCTTTTGATCCAACTTCTTTGCAATTCTTTCCTTCAGTAATTACAACTTTCTCTCTCGCTCTACCTTTAATTTCAATTTCCTTTAAGTTGGCACATGTTGACTGTTTAAGTCATTTTCATTGAGGCATAAGAACCTTCAACACATCCACATAGTTTCTGTTTGGATTGAATTTTAATCTGAAAAGGTTTATGACACACCTCAATTACATTTTTGTCCTTTGAAACGAAAAATCAGCTAACAAATAGTGATTTTGCATAAGTTTTTAAGATGGAAATTGCTAGAGGCCCCAAAATTTCTATCAAATGTTTTACTCACATGCATGTGGACCCCACACTCATGGGGGGGACCCATACCCATGTGAGACATTTGGTAGAAATTTTGGTATCCCCAGCATTACTATTTTAAGATTGCCTAAACCTTTTCATGACAATGATCTCAAATCGTATCCTAAATTTGGTATCTGAAAGCACAGCTGCAGAAAGAGAGGAAAAAAAGGTAGAAAATAGAATAAATACAAAATTTTGATCATAGGTAATGCACAAATCTCACAATCTATATGAATACTTTTGCTGGACATGTTATAACCAAGTTGATGATGATTTTTCATCTAATGAGAAATCTCCAAACTTAAATTTGAATTTTCCGCTCAGAATTTATCCTAAACACTTTGTCTAAACAGGAGAACAGAGATTCTATTGGCATCCACATAAAAAAAAATAAACCAGACGCAGTCTATATTGATCAAACAAAACAGACCTTGGGCATCATATCTGGAGTAGCAATTAATTTATCAAATTCCATGAATCCTCCTTTTATCTGGCCTATCAACTCCTCTCCACCAACCAGATCAGCTCCTGCATTTTTAGCTTCATCGAACTTCTCACCTGAAGATATTCAGCTATGGATATTGAGCCAAGTAATACAACAGACTTTAAGAAGGAATGAAAAATAAAAAATGAGTGTAACATTATCTCATTCTCAAATTCACGAGGCTATGATAATCTGCTTGTATGTAGCACCCTTAGAGAAGCTACAGGCTATGTGGCTGCATTTTGACACGTGTGGGAAACATGGCATAACACAATGGTAAACATTTAATCAATGTTGGAGCATAGCAAGGACACAAGTGCAAAATATTTGTAACAGATAAAAGGGGCTCAATTACAAATAGAAAAGGAATATAATTACCACTTAAAAAGTAACAGAATGATCAGCTTAAAATCAAACTGGTTCATAATTTCTGTTTTATCAACACATAAAAAGAATAGTTAAGACTACTTTTTAAAAAAGCAAAGATTAACAAAATAGAAACAAAAAAGTAGAGGACATCCCATGTGCAAATGAGGTATATAAAAGCACCAAAAAATAAATCTACAAGAATCCAAAAGATATAAAACCAATATAATTTACAAATAGACACATTTGCCCAAAAATTCAAGACAAGAATCCAACAAAGGGAAAGAACTCTTTGGACCAAAAGATAATAAAACTGTCCAAATTACTCTCATGAAACAATGCCTCATCTCCCTCAAAATTCTATTGTCTCTCACTCCACAAGCACCCCATGAGACATGAAGGAGCTAACTACCACAACCTCATATTCCGCCTTCGGCAACCCCTCTGCCAGCACCCAATCAACTCTATAGCAGATTCTTGGCATCATCACTGCCACCAACATGCCAATGTAAGATTAAATGATGAACATTTTTTCCGCATCCTTTTTACACCTACAACACTTTTTCAATGAACCCAGTGTAAATCTAACATAATCAAGATAATTACACCATTCACAGAAACCCTTCAGGAGCTTAATACCCATAGTATGTATATTTGTCATGGTCCTTTTGTCCTTGATAACTAGTTTTGTAATGCCATAACAAAACTGTGACCTAGTAATTGAAGTAGTGAGAAGAGAGTCTAGAGACGCAACTCCCTTAAGGGTTAGTATCCAACGGAGGTTTGATAAATAATGTTTTTAAGTAGCATAGCTGCATAGGTACTGCAATAGATGAGCTCTATCCCTATCCAACATGTCAATACTAATACTTTCAAGAGAATAACCTTTCTCAAACTGCGGGTAGCGGGTTGGGTTGGGTTGGTGGATTGGCGGGTAAATTGCACATCCCTAATCGCAGGTTTATTCTTCTGTCCTTCATTTTTCTTCTTCCTACATCACTACTCAATTTGTATTGAGAATGAATTCAAGTATTACTAACTTGTTAAGATTTAGCATGTCTTCCTTTAAAGGATGAAGGATTGGGACTTAGGAAACTGAGGTTTTTGAACAAAGCTTTTTAGAAAAATGGCTAGGGAGATATGCTGAGGAAGAACTAAAGGAATGGCTTCCACATGTCCAAAGGCACGCAACAGAGTGTTACCTGAGTCTTTCTCGGAATCAGAACAATGTTTCTTGTCCGGACGCCACTGATCACCATTATTGCCCTGA